CACTGACAGATTTCTTAGTAGCCACAGTCTTTGCTAAAATTGCTTTGACCTACTAATGTTTTTAAGCATGAATCTTATTTTATAATTATATTGCTGTGTTAAATCTCGCACTTTATCTATTCAGGGGTATCTATTGACTGGTTCTAACCCCCTTGCATCTTATAGCTACAATATGGAAATAGTATTAAAATGTTCTTTTCATTATTATCAAAAATACTATTTAAATATCATTTAAAATATTCTTTTGTAATATTAATAATATTCTTTGACTTCTGACATTGCTCTATAAACATCATGAAACTTCTTGTGTATGTGCTGTTCTTCAAAAGTCAGAATCAAATCATTCTGCGGTTGTTCAAATCATTCTACACTGATGCTTTTAGATGCACATCTGCCTTTCAATCTAATTCCAGAATGGCATGCTAGTCTTTTCTAGTCAGCTATGTGAAAATAAGAGGCATCTCACTTTTCAACATTTCTGAAATAGAATCTCAGATTCCATCTCCTGGCCTTCGCTAGCTCAGAAAAAGAAATGACATTTCTTGCCCAGTTGCTCAAATCTGAAATCAATCTCTGTTGTCTTGCCTTCTCCAATAGTCACTGAACAAAAGCTTGTCACTTCTATCTCCCAGACTATAACCAGAATCTGACTTTCTCTATAGCTCTACTTCCTTGCCTCATCTCTTGCTAGGATTTCTGGGTCTGCCATGTATCCACTAAAACATGAGCCAGATAAGTGCAAGGAATTTTCTGCTTAGTTTACTCCATAGTCCTTGAACTTACAGCTGTGCCTGGCATCTCAAAATAATTACTGAGTTTTGAAGAGCTTTCTAAATTTTGACCCTCCTCTACTTTAGACTCACCGTAATCTATTCTCACTCCAATGGCCAGAATAGTCTTTTTTTTAAAGGTATTTCAAGGCTTATTAAACTTTCAAGCCCAATTCAACCCTCCAAAATGTTTCCAATTTTATACTGGGGAAAAAAATCCTAACTTCTACCATCAACTTCAATACATCCGCTTCTCTGACTTACTCTAGGGACACTTTCTCTATTTCATTATGCTTTCTACTTGCGTTTTGTATGACTCATTCTTTCTTCATCCTTCAAGTCTCTATTTAAATGGCTGAAAAGTTAGGCCTTCCATGATCTAAAATAAGAATCCAGGCACTCAAGTACCCTGGGACTTTTCATTTCTGTCCACTTTTTCTCAACTGCAATGAATATTCAGGAGAAAAAGGCCTTATTTAAATCACAACCTTATTCCCACGATCTAGAACAAGGCCTGGAACCAGCAGGGTTTCAATAGTTACTTGATGGAAAAAAAAAAGAGGTAAACTGCCCATACCATGTATGTTAATTCACTAGTTCTTTGTAACTAGGGCTTGGTCAGTTCAAGAGGATCCCACAGGATGCTGAATTCACCATGGCCATGGGAAAAGACAAGAATGGAACTGATATGTGTTCTTCTAGGCTGGACACCCAAATGAATGTTCTCAAATGAGAAGTCAAACTTGCCCTTATTACCAGCATGCTAAGCAAGTAAGCTGCCCGACCTAGATAAAATGCCGTGACAGAGCATATAAAAATATTATTAAAACTGATACATACTACAAATTTATACAGTGGCTCATGACTGTAATCCTAGCTACTCAGGAGACTGAGATCTGAGGATCGTGATTCAAAGCCAGTCTGGGCAGGAAAGACCATGAGACTCTTATCTCCAATAAACCACTCAAAAAAACAGAAGTGGCGCTGTGGCTCAAGTGGTAAAGTGCTAGCTTTGAGCTAGCTGAGGGACAGCACCCAGGCCCAGAGTTCAAGCCCCAGGACCAACAACAAAAAAAAAAGTTGGCATCAGAAAGATCAATATTACAGAAATGGGATCTTTTGAAACATTTTTCTTTTGTTTGTCCTGTCTTGAAAATACTACCTTTGAAATAGTATAATATTAAACAGAATGGTTCTCTTGTTTTCTCTCACAAGCTGTGTAGCAGATAGCAATGATTAAAATAAGCGTTTCCTTGGGGAAACTGCTTTTCTAATCTTCAAATCATTTCTATCTTCTGTATTGTTGTATAAATGTAGTTTGGTTGACTCTTTTTTTCCTTAGGTACCTAAAAGTAAAAATAAAATTTGTAATGCCCATCTACATAGATCTGTTAAAATAAGTTTAATCTCATCTTTGAGATCTCATTTAAATGCAGTCAAAATAAGTCTACATAGTCTTTCTTATTGTTAGCAAATACTGTCTGCTGGATTTCTTTTTCTAATATTTGTAAAATGTTAATTCTGAAGTAAAAGGACTGATGAACAGTTGTGGGTAAACAAAAGAGATATTCTGAAGTTTCAGGATTGTGAGGGGGATAGAGCTTATTTATTTTTATTATCTTTAAGTAATTGTATTAAGGGGTTAAAGTTCAACATAATAATTTATTAGTGCAATGCATCTTGATCAATGCCCTTCTATCATTCTCCCCATCTCTCCCATCCCCACCCAACCCTGCAAGTTACCTAGCTCCATTTTCAAATATGTGCTTTGCATAATTATGACTGTATTCATAGTATGAGAAACTGCTAAGTTTCTCATACTCAAGAGAAACATTTGTTGCTAAGTATTTCAGGGATAAAAGATACTTTTAAAGATGGGTGTGCTAGAATTAGTTATTCATAATACTTGAGTAAATGCCGTGCAATACAATTTTAGAACATAGTACATAAATTTATATGTTTCCAAATAACATTTCAAACAAAATTGATGTAAAGACAAAGAATGAGTCAGGCTCACAAGGAGAGTGAAAGACGATGAATATGGCCCAGATAGATTCTTTCAAGACTCAATGAAACTAGTTTTTGGAAGGGAGAAGGGGAGAAGAGAGAGAGATAGAAAGGGTGAAATTACTGGAATATATCGTAAACATGTGTACAATCTCCCCCATAGGATAGAAGCTAATAAAATGATGTTAAAGAAAAAAGACAAAAAGTGAAAGATACCTTTTTTTTAAAAAGTCACAGAAATAAACATCAAACTAGGAAAAAAAATTCCTGTTCTGTAATCATTAGGTTTCTAAGATATACTACTGCAAGAAATAGAAAAGTTAAAAAAAAATAGAACCTGGTTATTATCCTAGGCCTCAAACTCATGCCTTACCTGCCTCTGACTTCTTAGTGTTACATCAATACATGCAGAAGAACAGTTAGAAGATATTACATTATTAGCATAGATAGAAAAATATGTAACTAAAAATTGGCAACTATGAAAAGGTTAATGTGTAAAAATGCTACTATATCTGCCACAAATATACATACATGTGTGTCTGTGTCATGAGTATATCATATATATGCATATATTAACTCACTTATATTAGTAATCACTAGTGACAGTTTAAAAATAATATTAGTCTCTGTCTTAAGAGATATTTTGGCAATAAATTTAAATGTTCATCTCACTACAAAACCACCTCTTGAGAATAGAAAACATATTGGTGCTTTGTATAGTTACGTTTATAAAAGACAAAGAACTAGAAATCATTAGTGGGCAATAACATCATCTTCAGAAATGCCCTGTTTGGTTAGGTAAACGTATCTTTCATATACGTGAAGGCCTTCCACAACATTTCCAGTGTTCTCTAAGTCCACATTTTCAGGTTCTGAAACATCAGACATTAGGCAAACCATTCAATATTCTGTCTTTAGCTGTGATTATGTCTCTCACAAAGCCTATGGTACTTGCTGGCCAAGTCTATGTTTTATTCACTGCATTATAGTGAATATCCACCTAGTATCTGCTACACTGTAGGCTGAATAAATTAAATTCACTTTTTTTGTCAGTCATGGGGCTTGAACTCTGGGCCTGGGCACTGTCCCTGCGCTCCTCAACTCAAGGTGAACGCTCTACCACTTGAGCACCACTTCCAAATTCACATATTTTTATATAAAAAATATATGTCTAGAAAATACATTGTGCCTAGTTTAAGGTCACCACACAAACAAATGGACACTGCAGTTCGAATTTCAGATAAATTATTTTAATGGACACATTATCTCCCAAGTATTACATGGGAACACCTTATACTACAAATTATTCATTGCTATCTGAAATTCTTTGTTCACTTGTATTTTTATTGACTGCATCTGGCAAATCTAACCTAGTTCTTGTAATTAATTAGGATTTACACATTCATTGCATTAGTCATTTGCCAGCAGGTATTTATTGCTTTGTTAAATTGTTAAATAATGCACTGCATGCATACCATGTTCCAGGAACAACCACATCACTGGGACTCAGGGATAAATAATACTGATGTATTCTTTCCTCATAGAGCATTTCTTTCAGGGAGACAATATGGACAATGAAAAAGTAAATGAGTGAAATACTAAACTAGCAAGATAATTTTATTTAATAAATACCATGAGGAAAACCCAGCATAATGATAAGGTAGAGGATGGGTCAAAGTTCATCCTAGATAATACATTATTAAATGATGAAAACAAGTAAGGGCCATCTAGCAAGAAATAAATTTGACTGTCATAAGACAAGCCTGAAAACTAAGTTGTCATGGGCAGGGGGTTTTGCAGAATGGTGGGGTCGTTGTCTAAGTGTGTGAGAGACAGAGAGGTTTGGAGAAAGAACAAAATTGTGCATCTGGTTAGAATGGGAACTGACTGGGTAGTTAAATTAGAGAGTGACATGAGCGGAAATCTTTCTGAAAGACCCAGTGGGATTCTGTGTAAAGAACAGATGGGCAGATTAAGAGGTGAAGAATGAAAGTGGAACCCTAGTTGGAAGATGATGAAGTGCATAGACTCCTGGCAGGCTGGTGACAGCAGTGGATGAACTGTGAAAACAGAAACTTAGGCTCTAATGTATGGTTTTTCATCCTGGACCAGAGAGGAGTTGTGTGAGAGGAAGAGGAATCCACCTGTCTCACACTTTAAGCGGTACTGGTTGCACGCACGTGCTGTCTAGAGAGTGAGTTGATCTGTGTCCTTCATTCTCAGTTGCCGATACTGGCCTCCTCGGTCGTTAGCCTCTACTTCCTTGAACTCACCGATGTCTTCAAACCCGTCCACTCCGGGTTCAGCTGCTATGACCGGAGCCTCAGCATGCCATACATCGAGCCAACCCAGGAGGCCATTCCCTTCCTCATGTTGCTTAGCTTGGCTTTTGCTGGACCTGCGATTACGGTAAGACTTACACCCGCTCCTACCACATACCCAATTGCATTCCTTTGTCAGCCCCAGAAAACTAAAAAAAAAAAAAAAAAATCATGTAATGTGTTATATAACAAGGAAAAGGTGAATTATTGATTTTAAATGTGGAAGATCAGCACTTTGGGCTACTTCAACAACATCCTGTAATTACTAGTTTAAAATCATTGGCTTTAAAAGCTAAGAAAGACTAATATGATGTCAAAAATGATTAAGCTGTATATACACTTGTATAAGCCCTTCTGGAATGGCTTTGTAAATCTATAATTTTTGAGTGATAATAGGGCATCTACTTATTACATTTTATGTTATGTGTTTGCCATCTAAAGTATAGAAAACAGAAGAAAAACATAATAATATGGTCAAAAGATTTCTTCTTAAACATAAATATTGTTTACAATTTATTTTGATTATGAATATTGATCTGGGAACAGTAGAAGGTTCTGAGGTGGGGATGAAGAGTATAGAAGCATGATATATATCTTTATCTCTCTAGATAAATACATACATACAGATATCAATCGATAGATCTATGCAGATATATACACAGATAAGGATATATATAGATATCTATATACTCAGATAGAAATATACAAATATAAATCTTATCTATCCATGTATCCATATAAATGTATACAGATGATATATATGTATATATGCATATTATATATTTAGATGATATATGGTATCATGATATATGATATATGATATAGATTATGATATAGATCCATATAATTCTAGTACTGATACAGACCTATAGATATGTATAGATTTATATTACACCAAAACCCATGAAATACTGTTTAAAAAGAAGGAAGGGTACCAAACACTGGTGGCTCATGCCTATAATCCTAGCTACTCAGGAGGCTGAAATCTGAGGATCATCATTTGAAACAGCCTGGTAAGGAAAATCTGTTAGACTCTTATTTCCAATTAAGCACCAAAAAAGCCAGAAGTGGAGCTGTGACTCAGCTTGTAGAGTGCTAGCCTTGGGCACAAAAGCTCAGAGACAGTGCCCAGGCCCAGAGTTCAAACCCCAGGACTGGAAAAAAAAAGAAGGAAGGAAAGAATAATTAAGGGATATAACAGAGAGGATGAACCTATTTAATATACACTGTAAACTCTATGCATCTATGGAATTATCATGATGAAAGCCTTTTGTACTATTAATATATGTCATCACAAATTTTTAAGTAAGAAAATATAAAGCAAAACCGACTAGATCAAAACTTACCTCATACCTGCCCCGCCCCACACAAACACACTCATAAGATCATTAACTACATTTGCACACACAGAGCACATACATAAAGAAATGCCATAACCTTCTGGAACTGAGTTAAAGCATGGTTTTAGTTATTTTATAGGTAAATATATACTTCACACATAAATAACACACGTTTAGATAAATTCATTTATCAACCATCTCTTCTACCCCAAACACTAGCTAAACAGCAGAGGACATGTTTCCAGGGCAATAACATTCATTCACTCGGTGCGAACTCTTGCTTTCCTTTGATCATGCTCCAGGACAGCAGAGTAGGTGGCTATTAAATCATTAAAAGCTGCATTTAAGTGGAGGTTTTATGCAATATTAGGATGATTTGGCCTGTTGATATAGCAGCAGTTTTAGAAAAGATTGCATAGATCTCTACTCAATACTATTTGGTAGCTCTGATTTTGATTTTTTTTAATGTCTTCCATATTAACTAATAAACAGCATGATATTTACACTGTAAATAAATTATGTATGTAAGTTATATCTTCTCAGAAGATAACATTGGAAGTTGACTTTTATATAGAACTTTAATACTTCATATTAAATGCTTCAAAATGACTATGTCACTTAAATTATGGAAACTCCACAGTGACTAGAACTATTAAAAAATATATACTTGGAAGTAGTCATAGTTCGGAGAGAGACATTTTTAAAGGGTGCTATTGCTGAAAACCAATTTTGTCTTTTTTTTCTAAATACTTTACAAAAATCCTTGTCACTTAGAGCAGAAAGAATATGCGCTTTCTACGCACAGCAGATACTATTTCTCTCTGTAGAGCTATAGTGCCCAGATTTATTATAATTGATGTGTTTGAAGTAAAACACGTCAAGTGCCACACAAAGGATTATGACTGCTATCATTTAGATAATTTGCTTCTTGTATATCTAGAAGTCTTTCTTCCCTGAGCTTGCTTATCAAGTCACGTGGGAAACAAGTCTCATCACGATGCTTGCTTCCTGCCAGGACTATTTTTCTCACAGAGCTTCTTTCCCTGAGATTGTTGCCTGTGGCCTTGGACTCCCCATGCTCCCTTTTCTGGTTACACATCTTCAGTATAAAGTCCAAGAATATTTTCTGGGCTCTTTGAGGTCGAGGCTTTCTTTCTTTCTTGAGACCTGGGAAAGGAAGGAGGAAGATCACCATGTGTGCCTGCCCCTGAGCTGACCTTGACTTGGCGTAGGAGAGTTTCATGGTTCTTCAAGTCTGCTGTGAGCATCTTTACGGAAAGGGGAGCAAAATAGGGGGCCATTTGCACCCTAGGGCTCCTAAACCATATGAAAACTTCTGTGCACTCCTGGGTGTCAGCATTTTTCTTCTATGCTGGTGTGTGTGTGTGTGTGTGTGTGCGCGCGCGCTCACTGATAGTAGGGTTTGGACCCAGGGCTTGTTGCTCTTGCTTAGCTTTTCTGCCCAAGGATAGTGCTCTACCACCTGATCCATACCTCTACTTTCAGCTTTTTTGGTGGTTACTCAGACATAAGAGTCTCATGGACTTTCCTGCCCAGGAAGAGCCATAATCCTCAGATCTCAGATTCTTGAGGAGCATTTCTGATTACAAGTGTGAACCACCGGTACCTGTCTGGCTCTCATGCATTTTGAGTAAATCACACTGAGTCAGATTTTGTTAGTGCTCGAATCAAACACCATTTCTTTTACACATCTTTCTCTCCAAATGTGCACTATACTTCTTTCACATTTTGACATCAATGTCTTGTAGGCCTTCTCCCAAAACACACTTTTTTTTCAACATTGATCCTATTGTATTACATAGTAATCTTGTTCTAGGACCCTAATTCTGTCTATAATCTTACTTCACAGTTACTTCTCTCATTACTGAACCACATTCTTGTAAGTGACAACAGACACATTCTAACCTTTGACTTTCAATGACATCATTTTATTCCATCCTTATGGTGACACAAACCTGTAGCTAAGATAGAGTCAGGAGGAAAGTAAAGATGCGGAGGGAACCCATCATTAGAAATGGCTTTGAAGCCGGGTACTGGTGGCTCATGCCTGTAATCCTAGCTACTCAGGAGGCTGAGACCCGAGGATTACAGTCCAAAGCCAGCCCAGGCAGGAAAGTTCATGAAACTCTGATCTCCAATTAACTACCAGAAAACCAGAAGTGGCACTGTGGCTCAAGTGGTAGAGTGCTCACCTTGAGCTGGTGAGCTCAGGGTCAGCACCCAGGCCCAGAGTTCAAGCCCCACGAACTACCAAATAAAGAAAAAAGAAATAGCTTTGAGAGAGAGACAGGGACAGAGAGAGAGACAGAAAGAGGAGAGAGAGAGAGAGAGACTTCTTATATTTTACCCATTCACAGGGAGAAAGCACCACAAAAGCAAGAATGATTCCTTAAAGGGGACTTTATATGGGCCAAATAAAGATAATTGATTTAATACAAGCATTTAAGTATGAACTGTAGTGTTTGCTTGCCAGAGTTCTTTTTGTTCTTTGAGACATCATCCTAATATTACACATAAAACTGTAAAAATGCTTTTCATTCCTGTGAAATAGATTGTTATCTCTTTTTTCAAAATCATCCTTCAGCTAAAAAATTTCATTCTTCAGCATTCAATTCTCTTTTACTGTACAAAGATAATAAAACCAGCATTTCATTTAGGTTCTGTGAAGATTATTTTTCAGAGGAAACAACCCAGAATGTCTGTGTTTATCATAAATCTTCATGAAATTACTTGAATAGATTATAAATTATGTATAATTTCTTCCTAGGAATACAAGTTTCTTATGTATTTTAAGGCCAAATACATGTAATTTCATTTTCTACTGGAATCGGATTATAGTTCCTGGTGACTAACCTTGACTTTAGGAGAGTATATCACCTGCTTGTAGAACATTATCAAATATGGCATAGCTTCTAAAAAGCAATTCATTGGAAATTTAAACACTAAAGACTCTGATAAATAAGGCAATAGTTATATTGGCTTGTTTTATTGTATAAGAAAGACATTTCAGATTACATGCTCTTCTTATTTCAAGGACAAAATATTTCCTCTCAATATCTTTCATAGAACAGTTATTAGAAAACCTATCTCTTCCCATCTAAAATCCATCCATGATATAACACATACACACAGAGACATAGACACAGACACACACACACACACACACACACACACACACACACACACACACACATTTCTATTGCTTCTTTAAAGGCTGGATACAGCATAAAACAAAATATCATAAAAAGGTACACTTCATAAACTATGAAAACAGCAACAAATAATTTTATTGTCCAGTCTAAATCCCCCAATGTCTTGCACAGTCTAACATGCTATTCAGAAAGAGTAGAAATAACCAGAAGTAAGTTGTATTTACATTAGGAAGGATGAACGCTTACTCTGAAAATTCTTTTTAAACCAAATCAAGTCATTTTGAAAGCCCGTGCAATTACATCTAGAAAAAGGAAGTGAAAATTGATTTGACCCTTGAGAAGATCAATTGGGCTAATATACTTGTCAATATACAGACAACAAACCTCTGTTTGTACTTCACAATTAAGCCAATAGTGTTGACACCCCCTTTGACATAGAGGTTTTAGCATATTAAAACAATGAATATAAAACTCCTGTAGTCTCAAGGTCATTTTAGTTCATGGCCACTGTGTTGTATCATAAAATACATTTTCCTAATGGCATTGCACCAATAAATTCCTGGATAATTTATCATTCATGGGCAATGTGTGAATCATTACACGTGTAATTGGAAAGAAAACAACAAAACAAAATTGTTTGCAGAATTATTGAAGAAATGAATTATTCTCTTAAGCATGCTCCAGTGTCCTTCAAGAATGAGTGCTTGTCTTGGAATGATGGATTTGAGATAGCCGTTGTATTGGTCTGCATAGACAGTATATTGTGTCAAGTTCTGTCTTAATAAAATTTCAAGCCTAGAGTATTTCCAGGTCTCACCTGAAGTGATGAAATAGGAAGATATTTGCAAAGAAATAAATATGGCTAGCTCAATATTCAATAGTTTGAAATCAATTCCTTTTGATTATTACTATATTGATCTTTAAGGAGTTTATTATGCCCATATTTTCATATATGTGATTATTGGCAGTAACTTTTAAAACATGTTAAATCACATATGTTAAATCACATATTAGTCTTATATTTTATACTACATATAAAATATATAATATATGAGAATCAACAAAATAATAAATATAATATAAAATGTATAATAAATAATCTATATAATGTAGAAAAATATCTTATCCAGAAGAATCTTGACTCTTTTTGTTGGTGGTGGTGGTCATGAAGTTTGAACTCAGGCACTGTCCCTGAGTTCTTTTGCTCAAGGCTAGCGCTCTACCACTTTGAGCCACAGCTCCACTTCATTTTTGAGCAGTTAATGGAGATAAGAGTCTAATGGGGAGTTTTCTGCCAAAGCTGGCCTCAAATTTTGATCCTCAGATCTCAACCCCCTGGGTTAAGGATTACAGGTGTGAGCCACCAGTGCCTGGCTGAATCTTGACTCTTAATAGAGCATACACTATATTACCTCCATGTAGAATTAAATGTAATAATATTAACACTTGAAGTTGAATGCCATAGGCTTATTGTCATTGTTTTTATTAAAGGCACTATAAACACTAAAACTTTAAGTACTTTAAAAATTAAGTGCTAAGCTAATAATGACCGCTGCGAAGAGGTTCCCCCTGAAGAAATCTAACCTTACCTTCATATAGTTATAATCTTTATGGTGAAGCTGTGAAACAAATATTTCATCTTCAAGTTTATTTAATTAAAAAATCATGGAACACAATTGAATACAGTAACATATTCAGCCCATTTGCTACATTTCAAGTGCTCAGCAACCACATGTGGCTCCTGTCTACTCTAACAGACAAGAGAAAGCATAGAAGGGTGTCCGGGACAACCAGGCATCCCATAGTACTCTTCCACACTCACACTTGCTCTCTACGGGGTAAGCCATCTGCTGAATTCAAAACTGGCTTATTGATCTGATTTGCTCACAATAAATGTCACTGCTCCAAATGATGGCATCTTTTCATTTTCCCTCATCATCTTGTTTTCATGAAATTAAGGATGGAAGGATGCCAAGGCTGGAAGTGTTAGGGCAGAATCAATCATCATGTGACTGGTGATGGAGAATAATTGTTGCACGAAGGTCTAAAGCTTGATTACTACGGCCAGGCTCCAGTCCACATCCCAGTGCATACAATTGAGCCAAATCTGTTTGCAGTACCCCTCTTACTTTTTTCTCAATGCTTGGTCAAATACTCAGAAGAAACTGCATATACCTCAATATACTTTTAAGAAAAATACATCTCTGCTATGCTAAAGTGATGGTGTGTTAAGAGATGCTAGAGATGTGTTTTTATCTTGCTACTGTGACAGGTATTGCAAGACTCTTTTGCCTGAACCCCCTTTTATCTTTGCAGATCATGGTAGGGGAAGGAATTCTCTATTGTTGCCTGTCCAAAAGAAGAAATGGAGTTGGACTGGAGCCCAATATTAATGCTGGAGGCTGTAACTTTAACTCTTTTCTTAGAAGAGCCGTCAGATTTGTTGGTAGGTGTGGGAAACCACAATGAAAAGAAATGCTTTTCCAAACAGAAATGTTATATTTAATCATAGATATTAAGTCTCTAAAGCCATAATTTAGATGTATGATTTGGGGCACATGATAAGGTTTATGGTATATAAGAAACTGGTAAAACTCTAAAATTTAGGCTTTGCATTAAGAAACTGGTAAAACTCTAAAATTTAGGCTTTGCATTATAAGTGTGTTGTTTAAGGGTATGGTTCTTGTTTAGAGAACTCACCCCCACAACTCTGTGTGTTTTTGTTGTCACTCTGGTGGAAGCATGAATTTGCTCTTAAATGGCTTCACCAAATGTGCTCTAATTTTTAAAATAAAGAACCAATGTCAGCAGGCCAACATAAATGGAACACACGTGGGAATAGAGTACTACATCATGGTTCTTTTCCCTTGATTGTGATCTCTAACTTTACCTCCTATTTTTTCTGAGACTATAGGAAGCCTACAGGCCTAGATAAGGAGTATCTGAATCAAATAAGTTTCTAAGTCTTCATCTCTTCTAATTAGATGAGATCATCTTCATGTACTTGGAATCACAGATTTAAAAACCTTGTATTGTAATTGTAAAGGTGATGAACAGAGGGGTTACAGTTACATAAGTCAGAGTACATTTCTTTTTAGACAATGTCACTCTTTTCCTCACTCTCTCCCAGTTTCACCTCCCCCATCCCTACCTACACATGGCATAAAGATCATTTTCAACACAGTGTCTAGTGAGTAGCATTGCTGCATTTATTCATCCTTTGTCCTTACACTTACATTCCCCCCCCTCATCGTTTACCCTACCAAAGACAGATAAATGAACAAACAAGGCAAAAAGAAAATAACACAGATTTCTTTTAGAGCTAACTTTAGTGATCATCCACAATATGGAATCCACAAACTAGAGTGTTTTCTGTTTCTCAATGAATTATTATAAAGTCAGTCTTCTCTATAATATGCTAGCTCAGAAAAAAACAGGTAACAGTAGTTAATATCTAATAAATAATCAAATACAACCTTCTCTCCCATGAAATGAAATGCCTGCTCTAAATCATTCCTTGATCCCCATTTTTTAAGACATTTTCTTAATATCACATTGAGGTGGTTGGAAAATAAGGATCCTCTTAACCTTGTATTTGATTCAGGGAAAGAAAACTCCAGGTTACATAGCTTATCTCAGAGAAAATTATCCTCAACATATCAAAATGCTTTGGACAAATGCTTATACACTCTGAAATGCTGTCCACCACCCTATCTCCTTTTGATCTGCAAATCCTTATCTCTTCACCATCATGTTGTATGCTTCTAGGAATTAGAACGTAGAAATATAGTTTCTGGGTCATAAATTTTGGATGAGTGCGTGAAGGAAGAATTGTAGTCACGGTGATTAGGTTATAATAATCAGAGAAGAAAAATGAAAAATGGAGTAGGTACAAGCCATTGTTCTGGGTCTAGCTGGCTAGCCCAATCATAAGTCAGAATCCAGGGGTTCAAGTCAGAATGGAGCCAAGGGCATCAACACAACCAGAAAGGAGTGGGTGAGTTGAAGATCATACAAATTGGAGTGGAGAACAAGACACATGAAGGAGACCAAGCAAAGGAGGTAAGGCAGGCCTAGAAGTTGAGTAGCTGAGATTTTTGTTGACTGATCCCCAAAGGTTCTCCACAGGTTGGAATCTGGACAGGAGATATAAGAATATCATCCCCAAATTTCCAAACTTGAAGCAGGTTATTATTATTGTTGTATTTATTTCTATAACAAAGCCTAACCTGCCCTCTTCCCTGTTTATCAGCATTCCTGGCATGCCTGTAGTTTGTAGGGAATAAGAATTGATTCTGTAGTATTTGTTGATTGTGGGTGGAGTTAAAGACATAAGGAAAGAGATTTGGCAGCTCCAAAGTATTCAGGAGTTTAAAATTATTCGTAGTATTCCTCCTGGGATTGTTAGTCAGTACTAGGGCTTGAACAAAGGACCTCATACTCTCACTTGGCTTTTTTTTTTTGCTCAAGGTTGGTGCTTTACCACTTAAGCTATACCTCCACTTCCAGCTTTTTGCTGGTCAGTTGGAGAGAAGAGCGCTGTGGATGTTTTTCTGCCCAGGCTGGCTTTGAACCAAGATCCTCATATCCCAGCCACCAACACCTGGCCATTCAAGCCACCTTAAATCCCACAGGAAATTGACTTTACATGCTTCGAGTGTCTGACAAGTGGCCAGTGGTGAATCATGTTAAGAATTGACCTTATTGAACAAAACTGCCACCAAATTACTCATTGCTCTAACTTCATTTTTACACAATCTATTTAGGAATGTTCTATGCTATGTTCTCAAAACAGACTTGGAGAAAATGATGACAAGTGATTTTTAGGTCATCATATTAGTGTGACATGAACATGCTGACGCTGGTATAATCTGGTAATGATGCTTTTCATTTTGTGTATAGGAGTTCATGTCTTCGGACTCTGCTCCACAGCTCTCATTACAGACATTATACAGCTGTCCACAGGATATCAAGCCCCCTACTTTCTGACGGTTTGCAAGCCAAACTACACCTCTCTGAATGTATCTTGCAAAGAAAATTCCTACATTGTGGAAGACATATGCTCAGGTTCTGACCTCACAGTAATCAACAGTGGCAGGTGAGAAATGGAGACATAAAACCACCACAGGTTGATGTTTTTATTATTCAGAAGTGGTGTGGGGTACCATATTCACCATGCCTTTTTCAGGCATAATAATGTTGGGGGGGTTTTGTTTTCAATTCTGCAGTCTCTTCAGTGACTGTAACAAAAGTCTGCAGACGTTATCCAAGTACTTCTCTTGGTCTCTGAATTTAAGTTTCATAGACTTGTTACTAATCTGCTCATTACTGAATTCCACTCATGACTTGTTATCTACTCTCATTATGGTTTTAGGTTTCCACTATTGATTTATTCTAGCATATTTTTGGAGCTTTACTGTTAATATGTGTTTGTTTTTTTGTTGCTGGCTTAAATGGAAGACTAAACATTTAAGCTAGTTACTTCAATTGCCCCTCTTTCTCTCCCTCCCATGCCAGTATAGTTCCTAGAACTCAGGCCCTTACACTCTCACTTGGCTTTTTCACTCAAGTCTGGTGCTCTACCGCTTGAGCCATGCATCCAGTTCTTACTTTTTCTGGTTAATATGTGTCTCAAGGATTTATCTCTCCAGGCTGGGTTTGAACCATGATCCTCACATCTTAGCCTCTTGAATAGCTAGGATTACAGATATGAGCTCCTAGTGCCCAGCTATCTTTTATCAAGAGAATCATATGAATTTCCCCTTTGACAGAGATTGAAAAAAAGTAATAATCTGTTTGCCTTGAATGAACCCAGAAGATCCGAAACAGCTTCTGAACTATAAGGAAATCACTAATGTCCTGAGTTTTTTCAATCAACAAAGCAAAAACAAAGCCAGGTGCTGGTGACTCATACCTGTAACCCTAGCTACTTAGGAAGTTGAGATCTGAGGATCTCGGTTAGAAGCCAGCCCTGGCAGAAAAGTCTGTGAGAATCTTATCTCCAATAAACTACTCAGAAAAGGCTGGAAGTGGCATTGTGGCTTAAGTGGTAGAGCGCTAGCTTTGAGCCAGAACTCAGGGACAGCACCCAGGCCCTGAGTTCAAGCCACAGGACTGGCACACATACACAAAAGCAAAAGCAAGCTTGTGTGACAAGAGAATGTGTATGAGAAATTCAAGAGATATAAATTATCAAGGGATCTGGGCTATTAAATGCTTATTTAAGAATTGAACAGCATTCAATGAATTCTCAAAGATCTACTGAAGAGTGAAAATAGATTGATAACTATACTTGCAAAATAAGACCTGAAATTATGTGATTACACATATATAGGTTCTCAACGATTATTCAGTACTTTCAGGTCTATATACATATCCATTTCCTCAACCATGTTACATTGTGTTACATAATAAATAACAAAAAATTAGGAGAGCACTACCATGATGAATTTCACTTTTATAGTTTTTAATTTATTACAAGAAATCTCCTCCTCCTCCTCCTCCTACTCCTCCTCCTCCTCCTACTCCTACTCCTCTTCTCCTCCTCCTTCTTTTTTATTTGTCTCTTTCAGTATCTCTTATTATCCAACACTCAAATTCCAACCTTTCTCTCTTGAATAAAATAGTCTATTATTCAAGATTTTACCAGTGTTTGAAGTCAGGGCCTTCTGCTTACTTTGCTGGTAATCTATCATTTGGACCATGGTTATTTTGGAGATGGATATTCACAGACCCTTCTGCCCAGGCTGGCTTTGAACCATGACCTTTTGGACTTTATCCTGAGTAGCTAGGAATACATGTGTGAGTTACTAGCACCATGTTATGTTTTTGTTAATATTGGTTTCATTTTATTTTTTGAAAAAAATCTAAATATAAGTTAAAGTTACTGCTTCTTGCCTTGTGGCTTTGAGTTGACATCCCATTATTTATAAGCACTCATTTATTTTTGAAATGATGGCTAGCAGTGTATCTGAGTTCAAAGGCATAATCTGCCTCCTCTCCTTTGACAGAAAGTCCTTCCCTTCTCAACATGCGACCCTCGCCGCCTTTGCTGCTGTGTACGTTTCAGTAAGTAACTGATTCTTTAACAATAAACCGTGTCCTACAGAAAATCAGATAAATGAGCACCCTGCCAGGGGACTAATTAGATTACAAACTTTAATGTGACAACCTTTTAAGCAGGTACATTGAAAGCAAAAGTCAAATGCCACTATTAAAAAATGGAAAGTGAAAGCAATTTTTCTATATAACCAATATTAACCTTGTAGCCTTTCTTTGCAACATTATACTTTGTGGTGGATACTCTCAAATATGAAAATGTTACAACTAATTTTAATATTTGAGGGAATGAGATCAAGTCTACAAGGACAGTATTTATGTAACATTGGTAAATTCTAAGTCAGTGTAGATTTGATCAATGTTGTGCCATGGAAAGTCATTGTATCTGATTATTATAATAGCCCATGGAGTCTTTGGTGAGCCAAAGAGATTTTGTCCCAAAGAAACATGATGATGAAAGTTATCTGATTGAACAGTCTGCGTCAGTCCTTCTCAAGCTTCCATGCATGCAGTAAGAACACTGATCATTTGATGAAAGTTGTCATACATCCCCATGGTTAGCTGGTTTCTAGACAACAGAGCCATAGCAGGAGACACAGATGGTACAGCTGAGGTCAGCAGTGTCTGGGAGACTTGGTTTACATTTTCATTTGATGGGACTTTTCTAAGAAAATGGATTTCTAGCATACTTACCCCACTTCTTCTCTTTTTCAGATGTACTTCAATTCCACGCTAACCGACTCCTCCAAGCTTCTAAAACCCCTCCTGGTGTTCACGTTCATCATCTGTGGCATCATCTGTGGGCTGACACGCATCACTCAGTACAAGAACCATCCAGTTGATGTCTACTGTGGCTTTTTAATAGGAGGCGGGATTGCCCTGTATTTGGTTAGTGATTTGTTACTATTTTCTGATGAACTACAGCTTTAAAAAAATGAAAAAATGTATAAGATACTTGCTGCAATTTACTTACAATATATTTGCACAAAAATTGTCACAGCAAATTAAGATAGCTGGAGTTGTGCATGGTGGCACATGCCTATAATCCTAGCACTCAGGAAGCTGACACAGGACGATCTCAAGTTGGAGAACAGCCTGTATTCCTTCTAAGCCTGTGCTGCTCAGAGTTTAACATTCTATAAAATGTAAAATCCATGCTATGCAGTACCTTCAACTTGAAAAGCAGACAGTTGCTGCCTTCTATTGAAATAGCACACGCCACTGCTCCTGCTAGATCTGACCTCTGTCCCAAAAAGCTGACAACCCTATAAACATTAGAAATTCTGCATATAGAAAGAACAGTCTTTTTAATTGGAAATTTGGCCCTTTCCAAGTCTAAAACAAACAAAAACTGCTAGATGGGCATAAAAAGTCCAAACTGGAGTCAAATTGGCTCATGGCATAGCACTAATGAATCCAAATTTTCCAGCTGAAGTTCAAATTTATATCAGGAAAGCGTGTGGTGCTTCTGTCTGGGGATTGGCATCTGTCTTCACTTCTAGGACCACATTTTTTTCATTTCTGATCTCATTTCAAATCTAGATATGATTTCTGGGCACTGGTGGCTCATGCCTGTGATCCTAGTTGCTCAGGAGGCAGAAATATTTAGAGTGAGATTCAAAGCTAGCGTGGACAAACTTGAGAGACTGCTATCTCCAACTGACCAGCAAAAAGCCCTAGGTGGAGGTGTAGCCCAAGTGGCAAAATGCCAGTTTCGAGCGGAAAAAGCCAAGTTAGAGTGCAAGAGCCTGAGTTCAAATCACAGTACTGACAAATGTACACGGGCATACACACACACACACACACACACACACACACACACACAGAGATGTGCTGTTTTCTGAATGACCCACGGTTGTATATCTCCTCCTTGTCATAAGGAGTGATTGAAAACGGCAGGTTAAATAAATCGCTTAAGCTACTTGAGATGTCACTCAGCAAGAAGTTCTTAAACCCAGAAAAATGGATTGCTTCAGAAGGGAAGGTGGGGGGGAATAGAAGTCCTGATTTTTTTTTTTCCCTCATCCTTCTGCCCTTCCTTCTCAACATAGACATAAAGTAGAGGCCAAAAGCATCCTCTGGGATGGAGGAAGAAATCCACAAGTGCACGGTCTCGTTTTACAGGCCGTGGTACTTGCACTGCGTCTTGTCACTTGTAGGCCCCTCGGAAGGAAGGAAGGAAGGGCAGGCTTGTGTCCTCTGGTCCAAGCAGGGAGAACACTCCTAGGAGGAAACTTCCCTCCGGCCCCCCGGGGGGGGTTGGTGGGCTAAAGACTGACGGTTTGTCCTGCTTCCATTCCCCTCAGGGCTTGTACGCCGTGGGGAATTTCCTCCCCAGCGAAGAGAGCCTGCTGCAGCACCGCGAGGCCCTGCGATCTCTGGCCGACCTCACGGCCGACTCGGGCCGGGTGGTGTTAGCCAAGGCCGGAGGAGGAGGCGGCGGCAGCGACGGCCTGGCGCACCCGGAGGGCATCCTCAGCCGCAATCCCCGCGACTGCAGCTCGCTGAGCAACCTGAAGCGGGCCAACGCCGACGTGCAGATCATCACCCCCCGCAGCCCCATGGGCAAGGAGAACATGGTGACCTTCAGCAACACCCTGCCCCGGGCCAACACCCCGTCGGTGGAGGACCCGGTGCGCAGGAACGCCAGCATCCACGCCTCCATGGACTCGGCCCGCTCCAAGCAGCTGCTCACGCAGTGGAAGAGCAAGAACGAGAGTCGGAAGATGTCTTTGCAGGTGATGGACCTCGAGCCGGGACAGTCCCCGCCCCGCTCCATCGAGATGAGGTCCAGTTCCGAGCCGTCCAGGGTCGGGGTCAACGGAGACCACCACGGTCCCAGCCAGAACCAGTACCTGAAGATCCAGGGGGGCGCGGTGCCCCCGGGGTGTACCAACAGCCTGGCGGGCGGCGGCCCGCGCGTGTCCATCCAGTCCCGGCCCGGCTCGTCGCAGCTGGTGCACATCCCGGAGGAGACCCAAGAGAACATCCACGGCGCGTCCCCCAAGAGCAGCTCGGCCCGGGCCAAGTGGCTGAAGGCGGCCGAGAAGACGGTGGCCTGCAACCGCAGCAACAGCCAGCCCCGCATCATGCAGGTGATCGCCATGTCCAAGCAGCAGGGCGTGCTGCAGGGCAGCCCCAAGAGCACCGAGGGCAGCACCGTCTCCTGCACTGGCTCCATCCGCTACAAGACCCTCACCGACCACGAGCCGCCCGGTGGAGGAGGAGGTGGTGGAGGCGGCGGCGGCGGAGGAGGAGGAGGCATCGTGAGAGTGGAGGCCCACCCCGAGAACAACCGGCCGCCCATCATCCAGATCCCCTCCACTGCCGCCGAGGGCGAGGGCAGCGGCTCCTGGAAATGGAAAGCTCCGGAGAAGGGCAGCCTGCGCCAGACCTACGAGCTCAACGATCTCAACCGGGACTCGGAGAGCTGTGAGTCCCTGAAAGACAGCTTCGGCTCCGGAGACCGCAAGCGAAGCAACATCGACGCCAACAGCGAGCAGCACCACCACCACCACCACCAGGCCCTCACCACCATCCGCGTCACGCCCGTGGAAGGCAGCAGCGAGCTGGTCTCAGAGACGCTGTCCATCTCCTCCTCCCGCGACTCCACCCTGCGCAGGAAAGGCAACATCATCCTGATCCCCGAGCGAAGCACCAGCCCCGAGAACACCAGAAACATCTTCTACAAAGGAACCTCCCCGACGCGGGCGTACAAGGACTGAGCGCTGGGACCTCCCATCCCTCATCCCTGGGGGGACAGCTCCCCCACCTCCTTTCCCAGCACCCCACCACCACCCCACCCCACCACCCCCAAAATAAAGACCACGCGCAGATTCTTAACACCGACCCTCTGCCAGCCAGGGGTTCGTGGAAGCCTTCTTGCCAACATCAGCCTGGGCCTCTCTTGTCTAACTCTTGAACGAACACACGCACACAACTTGTACATTCTTTTTCTCTCTCTCTCTTTCTCTCTCGTTTCTTTCTTTTTTTAACATCCAGGGGAAGGCAGGTGGGGAAAAAAAGCACAAGGCAAGAAGCTAACAGTGTGAGACTGTCCACGGCTGCTTCTGAAGACTTGTCATCAGATGGAGAAGGTTCCAAGAAGAGGAGCATTTTACCAGGAAAGAGAAGACAAAAAAATGGTATCCTTCCATGTATACTATTTAACTTCCTGAATGTGCCAACTTTGGGGTTGTTGTTTGGTTTATTTCTACTTTTTTTTCTCCTTTATAATTAGCTGTGGGAATCCAGAATGCAAGGCGTTTTCTACAGCAGAGGCCACACAGTATTATATATTCTTTTTTTTTTGTGGTGGTTGTTTTCTTCTTCAGAATCCGCACCTAAAACTCAGTATGGCGGTGCTGATGATTAATGGTTATAGTTCCTATACCATGTAAACTCTCAAACCTTACTTAGCTGTGAAATAGTGGTGTACAAATTCCTTGTCAAAGAAATGCTACTTTATTCTGGAAGATACTGGCTGTGTTGTGTTAGGTGAACAGGACACCTGCAGCCTTCCTGCAGTGTTTCTCAGTTAAAATATGACCAGTTTTCATGCATTTCAACATTGATCAAAAATCGTGTAGGGATATTCCCCTTAGAAAAAGGAATATAACTTAGTGTTTGGCTGCATCATCTTTTTTTTTTTTTTTTTTGGCTGCAAACTCTTTATTTCAGTACAGGTACAGCTAATGAAGAATCTTGTTTTAGTGGAGTTAATTCACAAAATTTATATATCTTGTTTTAGAGTATCTTTGATATTGTTGTGATGATATGTTTTGCCTTTGATAGCTTTTCATTTGTTGATTTTTTGACATTATCATATGTCCTATTTTTTAAAGCAAAATTAACATTCCTTGAGCAAAATAAGCAAAATATACTGCTGTGACAAGAAATCTGAGCCACATGTTGACATACTGGGTAATATTCCCAGAAATGTTGGTCAAGTCAATATTTAGCTCCAACCAGCTGGCTTAGGGAACTTTCTTAATAGATAATTCAAAACTTGTATTTTGCCCAAATATCCTAAATAACCAGAGACACAGTAGTTGGATTTTTAATCCTCTTCTCTTAAAGTGTTCTTGTTAACTGCACACCAACAGAAAGAATCTATAAAAAAGCAAATTGATAAGCAAAAGTATCTCATGGTATAAATTAAAACTACTTTATTATCATATCTAAAAAGAAGCCAGGCGCTGGTAGCTCATGCCTGTAATCCTAGCTACTCAGGAGGCTGAGATCTGAGAATTGCCACTCAAAGCCAGCCCAGGCAGGAAAGTCCATGAGACTCTTATTTCTGATAAACCACCAGAAAACCAGAAGTAGCGCTGTGGCTCAAATGGTAGAGCGCTATCCTGGAGCTGAAGAGCTCAGGGACAGTGCCCAGGCCCAGAGTTCATGCCCCATGACGGACCAAAAAAAAAAAAAAAAAACCCAAAATCTAAATTGGTATACCTTTAGTGCAAGCAACCATTTTTTTTGCTATCTTAAATTAAGCTTTGAGCCTAAATCAGAGGAAATCAATATTATCAAGAGATCAAAACAAAATGCTTGGGAATGTGTTCTTCCCAAGATACATATTTAAAGGATGAGGAAATATTTGGTTCTTGGAATTTAGTAGTAAACCTTTTCCACACCATTTCTTAGGAATCCTAATGGGCACTGATGATTGGCAAGGGGCTAAAAAAGAAACAACTGCTGGGTGATTTAGTCTTAGTTCAGTTTCCAGTAAGAACAAGAGTTGTTTAGAGAGAAATACTATCACATCATTATCAGTTTCTATACACAAAGGGCAGAGCTTTCTTAAGAAGCCAATCTCCTAAGACATTAGGATCTTGTTGAAACCAGCAGAACTGATAACTCTGGCAATAAAAAAACAGACTCAACCACCATCCCTTCTGGCAATTTCCTTCTTGGAGAGGGCAGTGGGAGTAAAAACAAAGAACAAAAAACAAAAAAAAAATGTTGCCTTCCCCACTTCTGACCATCACCTCCACCATGATGCTCCTACTGGCTTTTGCCAGTTAATTGAGGGAAAGGTGGGCTGGTTTCCATTCTCTGAAGAAAAACAAAGCTTCAGCATTTCAGGTGCAGTATGATATTTCCTACACTTTCCTATTTCTTAACAGAAGATTTTAAAGTACTTCTCTAGTCATTGAAGTGTTCTTTTTTTCTTTACATAATATTGAGAGATTCTTTTTTCTACTCAAAGTGCCAAAGGCTACTGTTTTTAAATGACTTATCAAATTGTACCACATTGCTAGGGTAATGTCATCATAGACACTAGAACTCAGACCTCTGCATGTGTATTTGATAACACATCTTTTTTGTAAAAAAAAAATTACGAAAAAATTTGTTTACATTCCACTGGTACCTTAATTTAAAATAAGTCAGACTAACAGGTGGTAACCCTAATTAGTGTTCTATTTACCTTCTTTGCTAATGAGAGCACTTCTTCCTTTGTTAGGCTGTGCTTTATTGACAAACCCAAGTATTGGACAAAGAGAGTTCATTATCTTTTTAAAGTAAATAAAATTATGAATATAATATATATAAAGTATTGTGTTTAATAAAATGTTATGCAATGTTTTTCCAAACCTATAAAGTTTGTAAAGTGCTATAAATGTATTTTGTTTAAGTACAGATCAAAGCTATTGTGTGAGCATATTGTGCTAACATCATAGAAATAAAGATTAGATTTCTTCATCAAAAGGGGGATATTGTGTTCTTTCCATTAGAACAAGTAGACACAAATAATATTAGCTATAGGAAAACAACTGATAAAATAAGTATAGTTCACACCTGATTAAATTCATCATTGTTCAGAAGTGTATTGGTCAAAAAATATGTAAGAAAGAAAGAATGTAAAACTAACGTTTGCTTGTTTAGCATTTCATGCTCTTTCAACATTTATTTAGACACAGATTTTCTCCCTCCTCCATTTTCTAACATATAAAATAAAGAAAGAAAATAGGATTGTGGAGCAAATATTCTGAGTCAGTTTTTGACTAAATGTAGTTAATAATACATATTTCCCCAGCCATCATCACCAATCATCCCATCCTGAAAATGGCCATGGCACCTTTCCTTTAAAAAAGAAAAGAAAAAGCTTCATTATTATTCTTGGGTTTTCTCCCACACCATCATCATCTACCATATGAGCTCTACAACTGATGCAGGTACATCTCATTGAAAGTTTCAACACAAGTGACTCAGACAAATCTAAATCAGAATTTATTCTTTTTGAGAATGACCCTAAAGTAGAATATAGAATGAAACATGCCATATTAGTTTTCCCAGTTTGAACAGCAAACCCTCAAGTTGAAGAATAGCAAATGACTATATCCTAGTTTCTGTCTACCCAACAGGCAGCCATAAGAAATACCTTCGTTTTGAAAAGTTAACATATGAAAAAGGGTGAATCACAATGGTTGGAATAAAATAGTAAGCTAAATTATCCCCTCTAAAGAAACCCAAAGTCTCATAAATTTCTATGACTTGGTAGTATATAGTTTATCCAGTAAACAAAACTACTAGCAAGAAAATAGAAAATAGTGGCTGGGAAGGTGGCTCAGTGGTAAAGCGCTTGCCTTGCATGCCAGAGGCCCTGGGTTCTATTCCTTAGCACCACATAAGCAAAAAGAAAAAAAGCCGGAAGTGGCGCTGTGGCTCAAGTGGTAGAGTGCTGCTAGCCTTGAGTTGAAGAGCTGAGGGACAGTGGCCAGGCCCAGAGTTCAGGCCCCACGACCGGACAAAAAAAAAAAAAAAAGAAAAGAAAATAGAAAATAACTTGCATGACTAAAATGACTAGCTGATTAGTATTGTCTTCTTTGACCAGAAGAGAGACAAGCTGATTTAGGTGGCCAACAGCTTAGATCAACCATTTTATCACATAAAATGTTGAAATAGGTCCCTAGTATGCATGCACCTGTGACTCTAGGAGCATTCTCCTGAGCAAACAAGTGAGTAGATTCTGGGTTATCTACCCAAGAATCCATGTGGAGGCCATGTCTCTTTTGTCTATTGCAGGTTACTTTTTAATACCTATGGGTCATTTCCTAATTTAGGTCAGAAATGCAAAATGCCTACACACTTCAGACAATTAATTAAAATTACATAACTGAAAGTAAACAAAAGGAATTAAGAAAATTTAATCTGGAAGTCAATTTTGGCTGGATATTTCCTTCTTCTAACTATTGAAGGTGTCCCCTGCCTGTCTGTTCTAGAAAGCTTAAAAAAAAGTGCTCTAGAATCAAAGATTACAGTTGAAGCTAACACAGAGCTCAGTAATAGAGTGTGAACTGTGCTAGATGCTCTCTGGTTATAGGAAATCTTTAGTGACTATGCCACCTAGTCACAAGACAATATCTAGATGAGCCACTTGATATAGAAATTAGAGGAGGGGAGAGAAGGAGGAGGGGGAGATAGGAAGAGGGAGAAGTGGAAGGAGAGCCAGAAGAGAAGATAAAGAAGAAATGTATTGACCCCCAGAATTTAAACAAGTCTCCAGAGCATTATGTTCAATAAAGAAGCCAATTACAAACAGTTATATGTAAATAGTTCAGAAATTATCAACCCATATTAAGAGGAAGAGAGTTTTCAGGCTTTAACATGTTACTTCCATGGTTGCTCTAATGGTCACAATATTGTTGCAAGAATAGGTAGGGATCAGCCAGGCACCAGTGGCTCATAATTGTAATCCCAGCTGCTTAGGAGGCTGAGA